TGAGCCCCCCAAGAAGAAAAGAAAAGAAGGCGCCGCCGGGGTGAAGCTTAGCTTTGGCGTGTAGGTGGCCAAGGTTCCCACAACTAGAGCCAACGGCTGCAATTTGGCATGCTACGCTCCAAAATCCAGGGGGTCCTTTGCCTTGCTTTCCCCCCTCATTACTTCTCTTTTGGCATGGCTACCATGGCGTCTGTTACCTCTTCCGTCATTTTGTTGGTTGCTCCCGATTGCTGTTTTGCATCCAATGCCACCCTGTTTCTTGCCGCACCCCCCCCCCCCTTGTCTATCGATGCGATGTTCGGTTCACTTATCGGTAACCTTTTCTCCCCTTTTATTCATGTTAACCATGACAATCTTTCTTCCGATTGTTGTTTTTCGAAACTCTCGCTGCAGTATTCGCCAGTATTATCCTTAAAGATTCTACCCCAATATTATCCAATCTTCCCCTCTTTTGGGTCTAGTTCCCAAACTGTACTTAGTGAATTTAGTATCCTAGGAACTCTTAATGGAAGCACGTTTGCAGTGTTTTTGGATGCTTTGCATGACCATTTAAGTAGGAATTGCCCTTTCCTTTCGGCTTGGTACTGGATCTGCTTTTATGTTAAACATCTTTGTTCGGAGGAAAAGAACTATTTAAAGCCGATCCATTTTTAATTACCAATGACCACAGACTTGCTTCAAGTTATGCACGGTGTCCACCACACGCATTTGTGAACAACGAGGGTGTAGGTTTGTTAAACGGGCCGTAATTGGATCATTGAGCATGCGGTTTAACAGATTTGTAAGTACTGTTTCATGGGGAACCAGAAGCTTCGGTGCATAATCCGCAACCTCCCTTCACGATTTGTATCGTAGGGTCGACCTTCGACTTTAATCGATAACCTACCTTGTAGATTGGTATCCTACCTTCAGGTGCGCTTCTCAGATGCAGCAGCTTCACATGTCCATTCGCCCATTGGACATCCATTTTTATGAGCCCACTTCAGCACTTCGGGGTGGCCTCCTTGAGCAGCACCGTGACATGTACCTTCATCCCATGGACAACCATTTTCGCGACACCACTTCAGCACATCCAGGTGACCTCCAAGGGCGGCGCCCATACACGACCAGTGATTCCATGGACAACCATTCTCTCGTAACCACTGGAGCAATTCCAAATGTCCATCTTCAGCAGCTTCAGCACACGTCCCCTCGTTCCATGGGAATTCTTTTTGTTGTGCCCATTTCATGACATCAAGATTCCCAGTTTTTGCAATGGCAGTGCAAACATGATCCCGATGGGGTTTTTTGTTGCGGGAATTGTCCTGATACCAGTACTCTGTACGTGGCACATTGCAGAATACTTCGCTGCAAAGAGTGTCCGTGATTTCTGCAGGGCGACTGTCCTCCGAATAATAATCCTCCGTGTAACACTTTACCTTCCTTGGATTTTGATTGAGTTCTTCTGCACAGTAGTCTTCGTACAGCTTATTGAACCTCTTGTTGACAGCTCCTACAAAGGCGTGCTGTCCAACACCAACAAAAGATAGAATCTGGCCCCTCCAAATCAAGTCGTCCGCATACAGGAGTGGGCTGGAAGGCGGAGGGGGCACCTTCTTCTTATTATTATTGCTTTGATTCGGTGGCGCACCGTTGTCATTGTCACTATCATTATCATTAATTGAAGTGGTAGTAGCAGCAGCAGCCGCAGGAGCTGCTGCAGGAGCAGTGTTAGAGGACATAATCAGCGATCAGATTGAAAAACAGGTTGGTTCGCGTTTTGTGAGCAAAACAAAAATATGAGATAAGAGACAGGGTAGTTACGCAGTTAGTGTTTTGGCCAGCTAGCTGGAGTGGAGCTGTCAAGTTCTGTCAACAGTGGGGCTCGCCGAAACCACAATTTGCATGGACCCCCCGAAACACTTGGTCCACACGGCTGGAAAAATAAGTACACGTGTAGACGAGTGACCGCCGCGCGGGGAGAGATTGTTTTATCTGCGGACGGACGGTTTATTTGCCGGGAAAGTTTTCAGGCACCCGTTTCAAAGGTGGGGCGCCAGACAGCCATTAAAATTTGGGCCTAACCCTTAGGGCTCTTAATGACTCATCCACGTCGGAGCAGGAGGACATTAAATAGTTCGTAACGTCGTTAACTCTCTGCAATGACCTTTTCTCTGTCTTCTGCTCTTCGCGCATTAAATATTTGGACCCATCGTTAAAGCTCTGTAATGACCCTTCCACCGCCAAAAACCAAGAGCATTAACGCAGTGACTGCGGACTAAATCCGAAATTCCTTGCAAAAATTGTTCGCCAAAAAAGGCCGTCCGCAAAGCCTGCTCCTTTGCCACGTCCCGCGAGATGCTACAGGATCTCGAGAGCGAATACTTCCCCACGAGAAGCGCGCTTAAGTAAGAACATGTGCGCAAAAAAGGCCAGCCAGACGATAGATAGATATTACTTGTCAAAATAATGTTCCTTTTTAGGGTTATTGACTGTGTAGCCACTGGATCACTGCGGAGACAGGTCTGCGTTGTGCAGCTTCGTGTGTTCTATATCTAGGGTTGTTGACTGCGTAACCACTGGATCACTGCGGGTCTGCGTTGTGCAGCTTCGTGTGTTCTATATCCAAATGGGCACCCGTTTGCACAAACCCACTTTAGCACTTCAAGGTGACCATTGCCTGCAGCCCACACACATGTCCCCTCGTCCCAAGGACAATCGTTTGCACGAGCCCACTTGATCACATTGAGGTGTCCCCCCCCTGTGGCAGCCTGGCATGTTTCTGCATGCCAGGGGCAACCATTTCCACGAGCCCACTTGAGCACTTCGATGTGACCATTTGCAGCGGCAAAATAGCATGTATCTGTGTCCCATGGACAGCCCTTTTCGCGGCACCACTTGAGCACATTAAGGTGACCACCTTGGGCAGCAGCCCTACATGTCTGTGAATTCCACGGACAGTGATTCTCGCGAGCCCACTCTAATATTTCCAGGGCGCCGCTTAGAGCAGCATAGGAACATGTCCGTTCGTCCCACGGGCAGCCCTTTTTGCGGGCCCACTTCAAAACTTCCAAATGGCCATGTTCGGCAGCAGTCGCACATGTCCGCGCATCCCATGGACAACCATTCTCATGAGCAAACTTCAAGATTTCCAGTTTTCCTCTTTGGGCAGCAATCCGGCATGTATTTGCGTCCCATGGACATTCATTTGCGCGGGCCCACTTGAGAACGGCAAGTTGACCATGTCGAGCAGCGGTCCAACATGTCCTTTCATTCCATGGACAACCGTTTGCACGTGCCCACTTCAGCACCTCCAAATGGCCATGTTGGGCAGCACTCACGCATGTCCATAGATTCCATGGACAACCATTTTCATGCAGCCATTTGAAGATTTCCAAATGTCCCCCTTCAGCAGCATAGGCGCATGTCTGCTCATTCCAGTGACACTCGTTTGCGTGGGCCCATTTCAAAACTTCCCAATGGCCATGTTGGGCAGCATGGTGACATGTTTCTTCATTCCAAGGGCATTCATTTGCGCGAGCCCACTTCAGCACTTCCAAATGTCCATTTGAAGCAGCATACCGGCATGTATTAGCATTCCATGGACATCCATTATCATGAGCCCACTGTAGCACTCCCAAATGGCCATTTCGGGCAGCAAGGTGGCATGTTTCTTCATCCCATGGACAACCATTCTCTCGTAACCACTGGAGCAATTCCAAATGTCCATCTTCAGCAGCAGCTGCAGCACACGTCCCCTCGTTCCATGGGAATTCTTTTTGTTGTGCCCATTTCATGACATCAAGATTCCCAGTTTTTGCAATGGCAGTGCAAACATGATCCCGACGGGGTTTTTTGTTGCGGGAATTGTCCTGATACCAGTACTCTGCACGTGGCACATTGCAGAATACTTCGCTGCAAAGAGTGTCCGTGATTTCTGCAGGGCGTCGATGGTTATTCTTTACCTTCCTTGGATTTTGCTTGAGTTCTTCTGCACAGTAGTCTTTGTACAGCTTATTGAACCTCTTGTTGACAGCTCCTACAAAGGCGTACTGTCCAAAGCCAACAAAAGGAAGAAGTTTGTCGACCCAGACCAAGTCGTCAGCATAGAGAAGAGGATCCAAGGTTGAAGACAACTTCTGCTTCTTGTTGTGGTTGTTGTTGTTGGTTTGGCTGGTGGCAGCAGTAACAGTGTTAGAGGACATAATCAGCGATCAGATTGAAAAAACGGGTTGGTTCGCGTCCTGGGCGCAAGAAAATTATGGGATGAGAGCACTCTTGAACAAAATAGGGGTTCAAGACAAACAACAACAAAAAGCAAAAACATTAACCCAATCTTGAGCGAACTCCAGTATAACTGAAACAGTTATTTTGCGCGCCTGTTGTCCCGGTTTTTGATGAAAAACCGGGACAACAGGCGCGCAGAATAACGGTTTCACTACAGGCGCGCAACCCTAACCCAATATTGGGCAAACTCCAGTATACGTATTCGGTTTTTTTCAGCCCTGGTCTCCTGTATCCCTTTGCCCAACCAACAGTTACAACCAGATATTGTCAATCCAGCCATTGTATACCGGTAGCCGGCTACCCTATAGTTTCATCGGCGACAGTGGCAACAGTACCGAACACACTCAGGTTCGGCTTTGCTCGCTGCACTCGGTTACCTTGTATTGGATCCTTATGACGAATACATGCACAAAACCGAATATTGTTAATCCAGCCATTGTAGCCGGCTACCGTACAGTTACATCAATCGGTGACAGTGGCAACAGTACCGAACACACTCAGGTTCCGCTTTGCTGGCTACACTCCGTTGCCGGTATCTTGCATTGGATCCTTATGACGAATACATGCACAACCGAACATTACGAATCCAGCCATTGTAGCCGGCTGCGGTATAGCTACATCGACGACAGTGGCAACAGTACCGAACGTTCGGCTTTGCTTGCTACGGTTACCGGTACCTTGTATTGGATCCTTATGACGAATACATGCACAACCGAACATTGTCAATCCAGCCAGTCGTTGACATGTACATGCAGGAAAATGGGTACCGACACAGGAGTCACCACCAAAACACTAGGAAATGACACTGGAAAGATGAATCCGATAGGAGGATCCACTCTCCTCTGTGCGTACGAGTGTTGTCGTGTGGCCTCCTCCTGTTGCCATTCAATGACTCGACGACGATCCGTTCATGCTGTAGGGCTGGAGTTAACAGAACCTCCTTGAATGAGGGAGAGAAGTCAGTGCTGCGCCTTCAATAATAACACACTTTTATTCCACGAATCGATCTAAATCTTTCGAAGAGAACCTGTTACTTAACGATACACATGACCGTTGATTCTGCAACTGAAGTGTGGGTACTCTATTTTACACAGTAAACGCCGGCAAATCGATTCCAGAGTGCTACTGAGGGGGTAACCAAAAGGAGCGTGGTCTGGGAGACCAAATAACTGAAACCGTTATTCTGCGCGCCTGTTGTCCCGGTTTTTCATCAAAAACCGGGACAACAGGCGTGCAAAAGGGCCTTCCAGACATAATCTCAGAAGCAATCGAAATCAACACAACAGTACAGTAGTCTACACCACTAGCAGCTAGTAGTAGTAGTAGGAGAGTGATACAGTAGTGTGAGAGCAACAGCTTGTTACTCTCCATCGTGTCGGACGACGCAAGAACAGCATTTGACAGTGTCGACAGACAGTGAGGTCAAAGTTCTTCACTGACAAGATGAGTACGAAACACCCTTTGGTCGAAATTAGCGATGAAGGCGAGGAGGATGGAAGCAAGGAGGATGGAAGCAAGGAGGATGAGAAACGTACAACACGTAGCGGCCGGTCGTTTTCTTCACCAGGCAAAGACAAAGGCAAACAGAAACCCAAGAAAAAACGGAAAACAATCCAAGCCTCTTCTGCGGATCCTAACTTGCTTGACGATCCTGACTTGCTTAAAAAAAAGAAAGATATCCCTGAAATAGGAAACAGATATATCGGCGAACACACCGGCGACATTATTGCGCAGCAATTCACAGAGCCTATTCCAGCCAAATTTGCCAAGGATGAAAAAAATAAAAAGGATGATGAGTGGAACAAAGAGTTCGAACGCATGACTGTGGAAGAATTACTCAATTTTTTCCGTTTTTGGTACCCCAGCTTCTCTGCAGTGATGCTCGGCAGGCAACACGTGCCCACATGCCTCAAGTTTTTTCAGCCCATCATCCTTCTGTCGCTGTGTCATGTGAATAATGGTGAATTGCAGAATGGCAACTATCGGGACCCAACTTTTGAAGAGGTTGCTTCACTTGCGTTTGCAGATTCAATGAAACCTCCTCCCAAACGTCCCTATTTCAAGCTGAACTTTTCAGGCACGAGAAGCTGTCATGTCGCGAAGTCAGCAATGGATAAGTTCCCAGCGATGTACGACAAGGTATTTGTTGTTGCTCAACGATCTGCAGAAGCCGCAGGGCATGGTTCCAAAGGAATAGTCAGATATGACACCGTGAAGAAATACCTCAACGAATTTTACCGCCTTGTCACTGCCTCTTGGTCCATGGCACCCACCTTAATCGGGGCTAACCCTGTCCCTACACAGAGTGATCAGGTTCAGGGTCTGGAGTGGATCCTCGAACTTGTGCAGAGAGAGAAACTTGGCTATAAGAACGAAAATCAGGGCTTCCCACAACCAAAAGATACTCCGAAAACGGACGAGGATCATTGCGTTGCCAACCCATACGGGGCCGATACAATCATCAACGATAATCGCAACAGATTCATCAAGAAGGTCACGCTGAATAGTGTCGTGGAGGTCTTGGCCGAAGGCGAAGGAAGTGCTGTCAGAAAGCCGTTCCATGACAGGTCTGGTCACATTGTATACGAATTTCCTGCTACACCTGAAGATGACGAAAAGGCTCAAGAGGCATGCGTGTCGTTCTATTTTGCAAATTGCAAGGGACGGTACCCCATGTGTCCAAACGAGAATGAGCAAAAGGAAGACAACATCGTCCGACTTCGAACCTGGCGCAGCTTGGAAAGAAATGATGCAGAGGAGTTTATGGGGCTAGTCCCTCCTATGGCGTTGTTGCGATCCCTCGAGGAACATAAAGTCATTCAAGAACAGTTGACAGAATTCTACGACTCAGTTGATTCCCTGTACCAGCCCCCTCCCTCCGCCGACATACCAGAAAAAGCAAAGTGGAAGGTTGAGATTACGCTCAAAAATGAGTTGGTTTGGAAGCTTCCTCTGGAGCATAGTTCAGGCAACGAGTTGGTTGGCATTGAATTGGTCAGTGCAGTCTGGCAACTTGATCAAAACTTGAAATGCCTGCTCAGTCCACACTTGATGCTGTCGATCGGAGTGTGAAGGGTGCGGAAGATTTGC